AGAGCGTGTGGGAGCAAGGGAAAATTTTTAGAGGGTGTAAATTGAAACTGCCATTTGGAGGCATTCATTTCCTGGAGTATTTAAGTAAATATTATGAAGATATTTCTCTGTGTTGGACAGTCAATCCATCATGGCTCAAATAAGTTCAAGTATTAGCTCACTTGATTCACTTTGTCATACTTAGTCATTTTGACTTTTAAGGCGGACAGTTATCCTCCCTGCCAGCCAGTTCTGCTGCACAAAAGAAAAAAAACATTAACACCCTCAACTTCTCTTCATCATGGGCAGTTGCATGCCAGAGGCAAAGAGAAATAAATGAATGGCAAGATGAAAACAGCTAGCATGACAGACATGGCTAACTTAAGCAGTCCGATCTCTAGCACATATTACACAGGTGCAGAGAATATTAGCATTGGCTACACACTGAACGTGCTGAGAGGCTGTGGAACCAGGCCCGAGAACAGCAGGGTCCTGACCGAGCTCAGGAATTAGTAACATTGGTGGCTCAGTCAAGTGATTTTGTAGATGTAGTATTAAGTTCCGAAAATTATCTATTAAGTTTGATAAATCTGGAAATGAAAATCATATTCTCATAACATTTTGGTGGAAACGGATCCTTTAACTGTAATTCCAACAGCTAGATGTTCCATTTCTAAGGTCCCTCATGGGAGTCTACAAGAAGCGATTCGTTGACTGCACAGCGCATTAGTTACTAACCACCCATTGCACAGAAATAATGTTTCATCTTCTTTTTCTTAGCATGAACAAAAAAAAAATCATAAGGACAAGCTGCTAACTGTGCAATTGCAACTGTGCAAAGTCTTGAAGGATTTAAGGATGCATTAAAGCATTTAATGACTAAATTAATGTAACTGAGAGTGCAGTTGAGAATCAGTTAATGAATCTGAATTGAAGTTGAATTTTTTGACTTTAAGAAAGGACAATAAAAATGTGAAATTCAAAGAACTGCAATACGCATCATTTTTAATAAGAAAAAAGGGCAAGACATGGTTGAAATGATGGCTTGACAAAGGCTTGCCTGAAACATTAAAAAGGAAGTTTAAAAAGTTTTGAAGTTAAAGGTCCCCTGAAATGCTTAGAAACACACAGCGTTACTCTATATGTGTTGACGTCATTTGAACTGAAACAGGAAGACAGGGCGGGACATATCAAGCAGTCCCGCCCCTTTTTAAAATAGCCAATAGCGTTCGTTTATATCACAGCTTGGGCTAGAGCCCTTCGGAGCCTTTGAGCTCCGTAAAGCCGCATTTGACAGGGTATGCCAGCCACAATCTCATCCATATTGCTATAAAATATAGCATTCTGTGTACAATTCAAATAGCTCCGATACATTTTGTGGTCTGTGCCGACTCGCGCATGTGATCCGCTCCGTGCTATCGTGTCTCTGGACCGGAGCAGAGTGTGTGTGCGGTGTGGTGGTTAGCGTGACACAGCGCCAAACCAGACTTCTTTTTTTCCTCAATGGAAAGCATATTTACAGTTTGAATCGCTCCCTGTCCCCTATATAGTGCACTACGTGCCATTCACTGTACAGAAAATTTTAATTCTATGGACAAGCGACCGATTTCAGCCGCGGCTTCAGCGTCTATTTTATAGTGTAGGGGGCGGGCGCTTCGGATTCTAGAGAGCATTTGATTGGACAGAAAGTTTGATGAGAAGCTGAAGTACGATGTGACGTCAAAAAAAATCGTTGAGCCGTTTTGGCGGAAGTGATGAACTGAAAGCTTTGAATGCTTATATCTTCTAAATGCGAATTTTGTCACTGTTTTGGAGCACACTGCCTTATAGATAACCTTAAGACTAACATATTGATACTAACACCCAAAAAACTTTAATTTTGATTTCATGGGGACTTTAAGACCTGTCACCTATAGAATTTTTAATTATGTTTACTTATTATTTTGTTATATTTATATATTTTAATATTTTTGTTTGAAGGAGAAAAAAGCTTTGACTGAATTGATTAATGATCTGAATATAATTATACAGTTTATATATACAATATAAAATTATACAGAGATTCTACTGATTTCATTAATAAAATTTCTGAATTACATGATTTACCTGATACTTCTTTGTTATTAACTTTGGATATAACGAGCTTGTATACTAATATTTCACATGAGAATGGACTGAATGTTCTTAGACATTACCTTTCGAAACGTTGTGATGTCATTCCACCTTCCGAATTTTTGATTGATATGACTTCTTATCTTTTGAAATATAATTACTTCAGTTTTGATAAAGATTTTTACCTTTAAGTGAGTGGCACTGCAATTTTTGCCCTGAATTATGCTAATTTATTTATGGGTTTTTTTTTTAGCACTGTTATGTATATAATAGTGAAGTAAAGCCATTATTAAGTGGTATAGAAACATTGATGACATTTGGTTTTTTTTTGTAAGATCTGGATGAGGTCTGAGAATTTGCAGGTAGTTTAAATGATTTTGTAAATGAGTTGGAATTTACTTTGGAGGTTAGTTCATCCAGGGTACATTTCCTTGACATATAGGTACTGAAAAATGAGGGTAACTTGATTACCACTTTATTTACAAAAGACACAGATTGTATAATACTACTGGCTACTTGTTTCCATCCGACTCCTTTAAAAAAGGGATTAACCTAAGAGTCAATTGTACAGATTGAGGATTTGTTATTCAGATTCATACTTTGGGAAATCGAGATTTTTAGATAGGGGTTACCCTTCTGAATGGGTTGATGAAGTATTGGATTCGGCCTTTCGGAAAACACGGGCTGATCTGTTAAAAAAATAGTAAAAAAAAAAAAAAACTTTCTTTTACTTTCATTACATCTTATTTATGTAAGTCCTATTTGATAAGAAAAAAAAAAAAAAAAACGTGGTATTTTTTGTCTTCTGATTTGGAATTGAGCTCTCTTTTTCAACCTCCTCCCTTGATTGTATACAAACGGTCAAAAAATGTAAGAGATTATTTCATACATGCCTGTTTTTAGAGTTATGATCCTAGTCCATCTCAGAGATTACAGAGTCAGTGCAATAATACATTTAAAACATCCTTTTTTGTCATCCAAGAACTGGCAAATCAATTCTGTTATTACTTGTGCTTTGTCCCAAGTAAAAATTTGTTTCGATATAACCTTTCTACAGGATGTCTCTAATATTATGATGTGTTATTTCATTGATTGCTATTGGTAATTATGTATCATTGCAGCGATTGGTCATTTGTTGTTTTTAAGTGAGGTTGTGCCTGAATGTTTTTTGTATACCTGATGAAGGTCACAGGACCGAAACGTTGTTAATAAAATATATATGTGCATGTATCGATACTGTGCGGGACTGTTGAGTTTTTCCGTATTTTTTATATTTTAAAAATTGTAATTCAGTAAATTCCACTTCCTGTAAATTCAATTCAACTTCCTGTCGAGCATTGCCAATTTAATTTAAATCTAAACTCACAAAAGTTGAGTTTAATTAAATTAAATTTAAACAATATATAAATATATACAGTATATATGTGCCTAACCAGAGGTGCAAACACTGAACCACTTGTAGGCCGACATTAGGAACGTTCCAGTAATATACTTCACGGATCTCTTTCTAGCTGTTGGTAACATGACACTATTACTTCTCAGCTGCAGCCCAAATCTGTAACAGGTGATAGATGAAGTGCAGAATTCTTTTTGTCCTTCACATTTAAGTGCTTGTCAGAGGGGATATGAGGCACAGAGCCCTATCCACAAGAGGAACAGAAATGCCTCAGAGTCCATCTCAGACGAGCTTTTATGGAGCTCTGAGCCCGAGCAGGGCAAGGGGGATAATTGGTCGATGGATATTTCAGACACTCAGCTCTCAAAGTTCCAGCTTTCCAGGTCTCGGCCGACCGGAAGCGAGAGGCTTCTGGGATTGATTTATACGGGTTCTGGCCTAAATTGCACATGTCAGGGTCGACTCTTTCTAATATTAATATTAATTCCTTTTGGAATGGAAGCTGATTCTGGCAAGACTAGCACGTCTGGAGTTCTAAGTAGTTTTCCATGAGTCTAATGCAGAACTGAGGCTTTGGAGATATGATGACAAAAACCGCCCCTCTCTCTTTCCCTTATTCTTTTTTTTTGTCTTTTTCCTTTCTCACTCTTTTCACTCCACCTCTCACGCTTTTTGTAAATACCAC